AAATCTAGTTTAATAGGTCACCCAAGTCCTATTCCAGTCATTAAGGCCCCAATATTACCTCTTGCAGAGCGGGCCTGAACAAATACGAGGGCAACCCTGGCAGCTGAGGTTTTCCCTGAGGAAGAGGCGACGGGAGCTCAGCTGGGTTTAGGGTTTATGGTCGAGGGTTTCGGGGGTTTCGGATGCAGAGAAGGGACGCGGGCAGAAGCTTATGCTCTGAAAAAAAGCTCTCTAAGTATAGGGTGTAGGGAAATTGGAGGCAAAATTCCGTGATAGATAGGGGTTGGGCTTGGGTTTAAGAGGAGGTCCCGATGTGACACGACGCCCAGGATCTTCACACTGCTGCCGCAGCCTTGGAGGGCTGTCCTGCATCTGGAGGTCGCCATGCATTTCATATAGGGGCCGAAATAATTAGCTATACTATTTGGGGGGTTCCTTTACTATAATTGTAGTATAGTGGGCCCCAAAACCCTATTCTAATTATTAAGGCCCCTATAGTAGCTCGAAGGCACGGCGGAAGCCATGAGAGAAGGCATAGACCCAAGCCAGCAGGGATCCCAGGAGGTGAGATCAGCTCGCGAACTCAGGCCCGTCGTTTCCAGGCTCTGCGCAAGAGACTCAGTGAGTTTTGTCCGGGAGATCGCTTCCATACGGCCACAAGAGCTCGAAAGGCGGAAAAGGGGGAATGTCCTGAAACACGTCCTCACTTCTCAGGCTCATGTGCAGGGCTGGCCGGTGGCTGGTGCAGTGAGATCCCGCACGGTGCTCGGCGAGACCCTGCAGCTACGGTTTGTTTCATTTGGTTTTTGCTCCTGTGTCGGCTTCATAAGATCCTCTTTTTCTCTTGGTCCGCAGGGTCGCAGCTGGTTCGGCTGCACGGCTGGTGCAAGGCCCGCAGGATCCTCCGCAGCCGAGCCAAGTTGCAGAGTGCAGCCGCGAAAACCGGAAGGAGGGCAATTGAACTTCCTGCAGGCTGCTGTTCCGCAGCCATTCAAGCTGCTCAAAGCGCAAAACCCCCGTTGAGTTGCCAGATTGAGTGATTTACACATCTTCCGCAGCATGGCGTGCTGCCGTGCTTTCGGAGTGGCGATCCTGGCCCTGAGCCTCGGGGCAGGGGCGACTCGGCACGAGCATCCGGCGGCTTTTCTGGGAGTGCGAGGTGGGAGTTTCCGAAATCCTTAGGGTACCTCATCTTGGGGTCCTTAGAATAAGGACCCTACTATTTAGGCTACTACATATTCGGGTCCCCGATTTTCGGAAACCCCCAGGTGCCCAGGAACTCCGAGTGGGGATGGTCCCCAGCGCCATCAGCAGGGCGATTCAGCACGCCTTGAGGGACTCCAGGTCCCACTTGAAGGCCTTGACCGCAGCAGAAAAAGATGTGACTCGACTGGATCCGGCTTCGATACTCCTGTGCTTATTAAATGACCATCACTTGGCTTAGTCTGGGTTTGAGGCTTTTCCGGTGTTTTCCTTAAATCTTTAGTAACATCAGTGCAGTCGAGAGCGCCGAGGCAGCCGAGAAGAAAGCCACGGCCGACAGCGCCTTGGCCAAGAAAGTAGCGCTCGAAGAAGACAAGCGCAAGCAGGAGGAAGCCTGCGAGGAGGAGGCCAACGTTCTTGTAGGCCGACACGGTACTAGTTTCTGAGCATGCTAGCATATTGGCATAAGTATATATATATATATATATACATATATATATATATATATAGTCATATATAATTAATATGCATGTTTAGCTTGTGCTGGATTGTGAAGAGGAGGCCAGGGGATCATGGGTCCACCCTCTACGAAGCCTACACACAGCCTGCAGAGCGGGATCCGCCGGATGCCGACAAGTGGGAGCCAAAATATACATATTTATCATGTTTAGACACATATAATTATCATGAGAGTATCATATATATATATATATATATGCCATGACTCCAAGTCTGGGAGGAGAAGAAGAGTCGCGAGAACAGGATGAAGCTCGAGAAGGCCAGCGAAGAACACGACCTCCACTCGGAGGCCCTGGACAAGGCCCGGGGCTTGTGGAACAAGCTGCTCGTCTTTGGAAGGAGGGCTTGGGTTGAGGGTTCAGGGGTCTAAGGTTCATATCGGTTTTGGGAGCTTTTGGCTTAAAAGCAGCCATCATAGGATGCCCTCCCCGACACCTAACATCCTCAACTTCGCAGCCGAGGTTGAATGACGAGCTGGAGTTCCTCCGGAAAGGTGGGCCGGATCCGAGGAACCAATGAACTTAGCAACGGTATGTCCCAGGGCTCCTGAACAAACGGATACTATGATGCACCCCAGAACCCTGCGCAGGTGTGAAGCAGCAAGAGAAGACTCTGATGGAGACCCTCTACGACATGGAGACGGCGCTGGATGCCAAGAAGAAGGTTCGACAGGGCTTTGGCTTATGAGGGGGTCGAGGAGGGGAGTTGCAGGGATTCCGTGAGGTGCGAAGTAGACATTGAGATTGGTATGCTGCTCTATGCTATGTTTCTTTATGCTGTATTCTGTTGTCCTACGTTATGTTATCTGGTATTGCCGTAGATTGTACCATAATGCATTGCATTTTATTGCATTATAAAAAACTGTGCTAGGTTGTTCTAAGTCATATCCGCGGTTTGCGTCACCATACCAGACTTTATAATATTGTAGTGTGTGATATTGTTTGAGTTTCTTGACTTCTGCCTTCAAGACCTGGAGGCATGCTGCTTTGTTGAAAACTGCTGAAGCTCCCTGGCACGACGAGGAGGTGGAAGACAAGGAAAGCGAGACTGCAGCTGCTGAGCTGGACATGAAAGAGAAGGAGGACAAGGCAACGAGGGCTTCTTTGTTTCCTCTACTGCCATGCTATGGAGGCTTAACGGTTTAGGGTGTAGGGGTTTAGGGTTTAGGGGTTTAGGGTTGTTCATGGTCCAGCTGGCTGTTCACGGACGTTTGGGCGGATAGGGCATGATGCACTCGGTGGCAAATCCCTGGACTAGAGCACAGCAAAGACCGGTCTGCACTGCGCCGGGGGCATTCGATAATGCGCAGTCGGAGAGCCCTAAACTGTCCGAGTGTGAGCTCCGAAACCGGGAGCCATGATAAGCTACCGAGAGTCCAAACCCTCAGCGGTAAACTCCCTGGCTGCTTCGTTTAGAGATCCTTCCCTCCTTTCATCAGGTCAAGGCTGCCGGCAAAGTGAAGAAGGAGTATGAAGAGCAATTGATAGAGGCCGAGAAGAGGTCCCAGCAAGCGCAGGAGGCATCGCCCGTTGAGAGTTTCTGACAAGCTCGGAGGCGAGTCGGATCTTCGTGCTCGCATTCGCGTTCGGGCCTTCGTGGAGGGATTCAGTCTTGCCGACACGGTGTGTCAGTTTCTCGACTACGACTGCATACGCCTACTTCTGAACTCCCGCTACTACTACTACTGGTGCTGCTGCTGCTGCTGCTGATACCACTACGACTAGTATTATTATTATTATTACTACTACTACTACTACTACCACCACCCCTAAAGTGATGACGATGACGACCACTGCTACGACTACTAGTCCTGCCACCGTTGCTGCTACTGCTTCGACGACACCACAGCCGCTATCGCCGTCGCCACCACCGCAATTACTACCACGTTGTTGCGGCGACGAGTACCTAGAACGGCAACATGCAGGTTTGTCACTACTGTTGCGATCGACTTATGCCTCACTCCGAAGATAGCGATGGATCCCGGAGCCAAGCCCCGCTGCGACTGGAGGCTTTGCAGGCGATCAGGGCAAAGGCAGAGGAAGCAGTGGACGAGGTCGTCAAAGCAGAGATGGAGCAGAAAGAGGCGACGTCAGATGGAGTTCGGGTGGGAACAGGGTGTGACGCAGGATCGCGTTTCCAGGAAATTAGGGGTACCTGATTTTGGGGTCCTTGTAATAAGGATCCTACTATTTACTGTAGGGTACTGTATCAGGGTCCCTATTTTCGGAAACTCCCACATATTGCTTCCGAACACAGTTTTTGTCCTTCGGCAAGTCACAGCACCAGCTTCGTGTTTGAGATGCTGAGGAGTCCAAGCGTCCGTTTAGAGTCTAGAGGATGCGGTTGTAACAAGTAGCGTAGGTAGCCTTTCTGAAGATCCCCGTGGCTAGCACCCAAATGGATCAGATCCGAGAATCTAAGGGAGAATCCCCCTGCCCTATACGGGGCATCACTAGGCCTGGTTGCGGAGATCGGATCTTGGGTTTGGAGTTGTGTTTATGGAGGTGGATACTGCCGTGACGACACTTCACACACAATCACTATGATGTGATTGGCACAAGGTCCGAGACCACTGAGCCTGAACCTTCAAAGGACTCTATATGGCTCTATGTATTTGCAGCCTAAGCGCTCAGTAGGTCCCAGGCCTACTGTAAATCTCGAAGCCTTGCTTTGAACCAGTGATGCGCAGGCCGCCAGTCAGCAAAAGGAAGCACAGGCTCTTCACGACAAAGGGGCCCAGAGACCTTTGCATGCAGCTTTTGGGGTTTTGGTGTTGCGGTGTGGCTTTGGCGTTGTGGGGTTTATGGTGCAGCTTCACCCGACCTGGGGAGGTTGCAAGCACTTTTCAAGGTGGGGGTGAGGCCAATATAGAAGCCTAAATAATTAGCAACATGATTCCTTGGGGTTCCGGTTATGAAGTAAACTATACAGGGGCCCCAAACCCTATTCTATTGATTCAGGCCCCTATACTGAGCTTCACGGGAGGGATGAAACAGACGACAGTTCAGAGGTTCGGTGTGTTCTGCGGAGCAGAAGCTGAGGAGATCCTGTTACCACCAAGACCATAAGAGTGAAAGCTGCACCCTTTCATACGGAACCAGCCTGCGATGCAAGACTTCGCCTTCCCTGAGTCAAGAGAAGCTTTTGCCCTACCTCTAGCTCAAAAGACCTACCTTTTTAGGGAACTATATATAGAAACCACAATATGGAAGCCCAAAAAGCTAGGTCTTTTCGGCTACAGATACGCCCTAAAGCCAGATTCTGATTCCTTTGCACGGCTATTGGCGATCTTTCCGAGCTTCCAAGGCTCAGAGCTGCTTCAGAAGTTGAAAGCGGCTGTGGAGGACAAAGTATACATTGTTGGCATGTACTTGATGTCATGTACTGGTATTATGAAACAGACAACATACCTTTAATGCATATGTATTTATATCTATACATATATACTTATATAAACATATATATATATATATGTGAGTGGAATATGTGTGTACATGCAATGTGCTGCTCTACATGAAGTTTCACGAACATGCTATATTGCCTTGCATGATATGACATCATACTATATGATCTCATTTAATATAATAGTAAATACTGCTCGATTATGTTGCAGTGTATCGTGTTGCATGTTATTGAATCAGGTTATATCATATCATATTAATTAGGAAGGCTCAGGCTCGGGTTCTAGTTTTGATTTACACATATGTCCAGGGGTCAGCGGGTCACGGGCCCGAATGGTCGTGGGGAGGCCCCCGCTGAACATATACTGACTTTATTTGTTTGTTTATTCATGTAGTATGTAGTAAAGCATGTTCTATGAGATACGTTGGAGTTCATATACATACAGTACACACATTACGTGCGGGATGGTGTAGGTGTGTGTGTGTGTGTGTGTGTTCCTCGACCTCCACTTTCGCTTTTCGGCTGTGTGTTTCCTCCTTTGGGGTTTGTTGCTCTTTGCTTTCTGCTTCTAGTGGTTGTTGCTGTTTTGCTTTCGCGGTGTTGCTATGCTTCCCGTCGTTCTTGTGATGTTCTGCGCTTGCGTGTCGGGCTTTTGCAATTGGCATTGTAATCAGTTGTTTGTGCTTTGCTGGTTTCGCTTCTGCTGCTTCCTTTACGTACGTTCATGTGCGGTTCGCCTTCTGGGTTTTCACGCTGAAAAGGGCTTATAGTTTGTTATGAAGACCAAGTTGTGATGTTGAAATCTGGTTTCAAGAAATGTCAGCAACCACCATCGCCAATTCGTGGTCAGCCGTGGGTTTTATCATATGTGGTCAACCAGCATCCCCTTCATGCGGGGGCAGGTCAACTTTTGTCGTGCCTTGCACGGTTTACCTCATGTCGTGACGAAAGGAGTGCTTGCACACTGTACATGGGAGTTCCCAGTAAGTTCCCCAATAGATGGCCACCGAAGAAGACCGAGCTCGTTCGAATTCCGCACTACCTCGCCGCAAAGCCGGCTTCCTCCAAACCTGGAGAGAAGAATCCTCGGCCATGTTTTCCTGCTGTGATTCTGATAGCAGGAGGCGAGGTCGACTTGAGAGTTTGCCATGCGGTTGTACGGGATACGCCTGTCTTCCCCAAATGCAGGACTTCTTCAATGCGATCGACGCTCTGGACACGGGCCCAGTGATGGCTTAGAGAGTACGAAGGGTGCTATTCGGGAGTGGCAGTGGCTATGTAGGGTTTTTTTCAGATGTAGGCTGCGCAGATACGGGAGCTTGCTTACACGTGAAGTGCTCGGTTCCTTTGCTGAGCTGTTTGTACAATTCGGCAGGAAGCGAGCATGATGAAGAAGATGAGTGCACAAGGCAATGCCAAAGCACACGAGCTCATCCTCCTTGATGAGAACTTGGAGCCAACTCTCTCGAAATACAACCTCATGGTGGTGGCATTCGACGATGTGTGGACATATGGCGACGGTTCCTACGCGAAGGTGGAGCCTGCTATCGAACAGATCGTGGAGGATGCCAAGGCTGATTTGGAGCTCATTTGCGACCCAACAAGGCAGTTCGGAGAGTCCATGGCAGAAAGTCCGGAGTTGGAGGAAAAGTGCTGGACCGCACTTTGGCGTAAGGTCGGCATGAATGAAGGTACCTTCCCCGGCGAGAAGGGCCAGCTCGCGCAGAGCGCTGATGTGAAGAGCAGCGAAATGCCGACTGAGGAGTCGGAGATCATGGAGAGTCCCAAGGCTAAGGGCGCCGCCACCCTGACAGCCTCGGAGGAGTCGACGCCCGCCATGGAGTCGGCGAAGGCCTTGGACACGTACATGGAGACCACAGCCACATCGACGACAATGGGCGACATCGCCGACCTCCTAGCCGAGGATTCCATCAAACCCGGAAGCCCGGCGAAGATCGTGGAAGCAAGCTCAACCACAACAACGACGGTTGAGGATGTCGCAGACCTTCTAGCCGAGGATTCCCTCTCACCTGCCAAAACCATGGAAGTCAGTGCAGCGACCCACACATCAACAACACCTGAAGTCGTGGACGATCTCCTAGCCGAGAATTCCATCACTCCCGAAAGCCCGGCGAAGATTGTGGAAGCAAGCTCAACCACAACAACGACGGCTGAGGATGTCGCAGACCTTCTGGCCGAGGATTCCCTCTCACCTGCCAAAAGCATGGAAGTCACTGCAGAGACCTACTCATCAACAACGCCCGAAGTCGTGGACGATCTCCTAGCCGAGAATTCCATCAGGCCCGAAAGCCCGGCGAAGATCGTGGAAGCAAGCTCAACCACAACGACGACGGTTGAGGATGTCGCAGATCTTCTAGCCGAGGATTCCCTTTCACCTGCCAAAACCATGGAAGTCAGCGCAGAGACCCACACATCAACAACACCAGAAGTCGTGGACGATCTCCTAGCCGAGCATTCCATCACGCCCGAAAGCCCGACGAAGATCATGGAAGCGAGCACAGAGACGCATGCCACGTCAACCACTACTACGCTTGGCGATCTTTCCGATCTCCTAGCCGAGGATTCAATCACGCCCAAAAGCCCTCAGTCCGTGGAATCGGGCGATATTTCTGATCTCTTAGCCGAGGATTCAATCACTCCCAAAAGCCCGGCGAAGATCATGGAAGCGAGCACAGATGAGACCCATGCCACGTCAACCACTACTACGCTTGGCGATCTTTCCGATCTCCTAGCCGAGGATTCAATCACGCCCAAAAGCCCTCAGTCCGTGGAATCGGGCGATATTTCTGATCTCTTAGCCGAGGATTCAATCACTCCCAAAAGCCCGGCGAAGATCATGGAAGCGAGCACAGATGAGACCCATGCCACGTCAACCACTACTACGCTTGGGGATCTTTCCGATCTCCTAGCGGAGGATTCCATCTCGTCCCCCAAGAAAGAGAGCATGGGGTCTGACTCCCCGCACTCCCCACATTGGATGGAGCACATCACCGGTCACTTCATGCCATCGCCGTCTGGCACGGCGACGGCGGGCTCAATGTCCATGGGCCAATGAGGGAATGCTCACAGAGGCCTCGACGAGAAACCGAGAAGCTCGAGCATCATCTCCGCTGCCGTGAGGAAAGACATTGAGACAAAGCTAGAATCAGCTAGAAAAGCACCAGCGGCGGTCTGAGTGATTTGAGTGCTTCCAGTTGGAGTTTCAGTTTCAACGTTTAAATCCTCAGTTAACTAAAGCCTAACCCCGGCGAGAGTTGATCGACCCATCGCACCTATGCTTCGACCTTTTCGGGGCTGTTTTTTCAGATTTACGATCCTTCCTTCGTCCTGGTCGTCGAACCCTAAACTTGGACCGCTTCGCGGACCTTGCCTGCACATGTCCGGGTGAAAGTGCCTCAAATACATCCGGGGCTCTTCGCGACAGGTGCAGAGGAGCTTCCGACAACTTGGCTCAGGCTCCGGGGCCGGGAGCGACAGGCGAAATCGCACTAACAACATGCGATGATAGACCCTCTAAACGCATCGGCAGAGAGAGAGAGAGAGGATATACGATGAAGTTACAGTATGCGATGTCAGATTACAGTCTAGTCCACTGTGTTACACTCATGCTTATCTCTGGGAGGTCGACCCCTTCTGTCGGTTTAGAGTTTTAAGCTTAGGGTTTGGGCTACAGAATGTCTTCGACGTATGTCGTAAACTGCGGTCGGTGCTCAACGTAAGAAGATCCGCGACGCTGTTACGATGCGGCAGGAAATTTCACCACGTACCTCTTGCAGAAGCTCGGCTGTCAGTGCCTTTGAAACTGATCTTGGGTCGCGACAGACTGGCTTGCAACCGAGTTTCAGCGTTTTTCGGAACAATGTGCCAAGCGAGATGCAGCGAGCATGGTGGCAGTACGATTCGAAGTATAGCTTGTCTCCTGATGTCTCTGATAGAGTGTACATGAGTCTGTATGTGTGTACATATGTAGACAATGTTTATATATATATATATATACATCTCTCTCTGCACATACGTATCCATCTTCATAAACATGTTCTGCACATGGAAAATACGATGCAATATACAGAATATGATACAACATCGTTGCCTTGTTAGCCAGGTCCCAGTCGACAGCAGCACGCTGCCACCTTGTGCGCCGCCCCGAACGGGATCACGCCGGGCTCGGGAGCCTTCAAAACTAGAGTACTTGAAGGTTCATGGATGGTTATATGTGGAGTTGTAAGTAAGGTAATTATAACGATAACCCATCTTAGTGGTCTTCTAACACACTGAAAACTTATAACTACCCATGAACCTCCAAGTAGGTTTCCGTAAAGTAGTGGGGTCCTATTGACTAGACTAGGGTGTCGTGGTAATTAATAATCGTATTTTCTTTCACCAGAACTAATTATCCGACTCTTGCTTGACAGTCTGCAAGAAGGGACTACAGTGTTCGTGTTATCTTAGCTCGTCAGCCAAGTGCCACAGACGTCGTTCTGAACAGCAACCTCGCATTGACACGTAGAGAAAGTCGCTGAGTCTGCTAAGTGGCGTTGCTGTCCCTGTTGTTGGTGCACAACAGTCATGCCCCTGCATGTCTATAGAATAGACGCGACCAGCGATTTGTTTCAACTCCCGCATCTCCCGCCAGGGCGCCGAACTCCGGCGACAGAGTGGAGTTAGATGTGCCGTCCTCAAGTTGACACGCAGAATCTGGTCCTTCTTGTTGATATTTAACTACCAGTTATTTGCACTTGTTTGTGAGGCTGTTCAGTCGTTTTGTCCTATGTCGGGCTGTTGGCGCATGCGAAACAGTACCCCCGGAAGCCCAGATACCTTTTCCATGTGGTTGAGGGTTTAGGACAGCACGACATCCAGGCGAGCATATACAAGTCCGTGCAAAAAAGGGTTGCTGTCCTCGTATTGTGAGGATTGCATAGAGACCGGACCGGCTGCATAGAGTCCCTGGCCAGGCATCGGCTACCAAAGATGTGGCCGCTGAGGTGACGCTGTGGCACGTGATCACAACTTGGGCTCAGAGTTGGTTCCTTCTCCCTGCAACATGCGAACAGACCCCAGCTGCATGTTGTTCGCATACATGAATACAGCAGGTAGCCTACGGGATAGAAGATGCATCACCTTACATCCGATCCGAGAGCACCGGATCTGTTGCAGGCTGAAACGAAGCCTCGGTCTTCCGAGAGGCTGCGCTACACCGCCGGGCTCCAAGCAGCTTCCGCCAGGGGTTTCCGGAGGGGAAGGTAGAGGTTTCGAGAGTTTCGGCCCGATTGAAGTAGTATGGTATATATAGGTATATATATATATATACACATACATATTGATTAGTATATATATATATATACATGGTATACGGTGCTTGGAGGTTCATGGGTAGTTATAACATAAGTGGAGTTATAAGTAGGGCAACCGTAACTAGAAATCATATTAGGGGACTTTTAACCCCCACTTAGAACTACCCATGAAGCTCCAAGTCTAGCCTGTCTTCAGGAGCCACACAGGACCCGGATCCTCGACCAAAGTCTCTGTAGCATCGCGTGCGGCAGAGCTTCGCATCAGTCAGTGCTGCTTCTGCCGCTTGGGTCAATCAACAAGACCCACGAAACGAATCCTGAACCCTAAATCCTACAGTTACCCTAAAGCCCTGAAAAAACCTTGCCGGGCTTGCCCGAGTGTGGGTTTGAAAACCATATGGCCTGGACCTTGACTCGGAAACTAGCGTGGCAGTGCCTAGCTTTGTGCACACCAAACTAGACGATAAGGCATTATAGTGTACAATACTTCGTTGCGACACTCTACTATCTACGAATTGTAGTATACAGTAACTCCAACTTAGAAGGCAGCCGCTCACGATGCTTTCAGTGCCCCCCAGTGAGCAGAGGGGGCTTCAATAATTCGTTATTCTGCTATCCGCCTATACTTCCGATCTAGCATAAGTATACATACTATACTGCATCCCCAAACCCGATTCTGTTCATGCATGCCTGTATAATGGACCCAAAACTTCAGGGGAACAGGGCTGTACCCGCGGTGGTCCAAGCTCGTCTCGATAAAGCTTCTGGCTGCCACTGTTTGAGTTTCAGGAGATAATTTTTGGGAAGTCAGGCAAGAATGGCATGATGAGCCTGCTCCATTTGGGAGTTTCAAAACAGGCAAGACCCCTCACGAACACCAAACTTTTAAAAGCAGACTCCTTAACAGAGACAGGCCCCCGAACAGAAGAAGCAGGATTCCTCTGTTAAAGAACCCGGCCAACGAACCGACCTTCCCTTCCTTATTTCTGCCCCTAAACCCCAAAATCCGAAACCCCGAAACCCCAAAACCCTAAACCCGCCCTTAGATCCAGCACAGTTGTGAGGTCTTCAGTCGCACTGCCAGGCCTTACCTGGTACGACAGGGGAACAGGGTTTTGCGGTACGTGATCGTATACTTATTACAGAATATTTAAGTACAGTTACTCATAATACCTGTAACAATATGTTAAAGTCGTTTCAAATACTTCAAGTACTTTTGGGACCTGGGAGAAGTCTTGGCAAGTCTGGTAAGTATCCCGGCAGCTGTATTACGTCATTGCTCTACGTTTCCTTTCTCGCCAGGGCCAGGCCTTAGGGCTGCTTCTCCATGGTCTCAGCCTTCCAGAGCAGAGTTTGGGTCAAGAAGCCGCGTTTAAGGTTATACTGTAGGGCTTATAGTGTCAGGGGCTCCGACTCTATAATCGAGAATCTCAAAGAAATATATATATATATATATATGTCAATGGTACTTTCTGCTTTCTTTCAAGGCCTCACGGACTGCAGGGTTGCCTCGCCTCTGCAGTGATGGCAGGGCGAGGCTGACCACGCTGGGCGCAAGGATGCAGCGCGCAAGAACCGAAAGCAGCGGGAGACAAAAACGGGTTTAGGGCTTAGGAGCTAGCCCCAAGCCCAGTTGCAAAAAAGGGCCATCGTCATTGTTTGCAAGCTTCTGTTGAGTGGGTATCGGTGCTGCGTGTCAACCTCGGTCAAAATGATTGCAGGTCGTAGTCTGTAGGCGATGTAGCAAGGTGGCTATCCGTCTGGTCCTGCCTTAGAGCCTAATACTCTGAGTTGCCTCCCGAGTCTAGTTAGTGGTTCGGTGTCGCACTTTCGAGGGAGGTAAGGAAGCTGCCTCGACGTTCATTGAGATGCTGGAAGATGAGTTGTTGAGTCAAGCGCACGAAGCATCACGAATGGATTGTCGCAATGCTTCAGTTTTTCTTGTGTGCGTGTTACAGTGTTGAGTTGATTGGGCTACGACTAGTTTTTAATCATGGCTGGAATCTGGAACCGTGTATACGTTTACACGGCATACACCGATTGGGTAGTTAGCAGGGGTACGTTGAATTATATATTGTTCGTGTATGTTCGTCAAGTCTATCAACGAGATAAATGTTTTCACTTCAAAACGATGTACGTGCAAACTGTGCCTGTGCTTGTAAAACCTGCATGTTAAAGCAAGACGATGCATGCATGTATTGGTGCCAGAGACACTGACCCACGGCCGAGAGTGGATGCAGGTTCTTGGATTCAAACTTGCTGGTTGTGTTTCTGCAGTCCGTTTGGTTCAAGCGGCACCACACTACTGCGCCACTTGTGCGACCGAAAGAAGCACTGTTGGAGGCATTGGTTGTCGAGAACTTAGAATGCAGTTTGTGACAGCAGCGGCGTCGTGTGAGGCTCTGCGTCGTGGCTAGCAGGATGGCAGAAGATCAAGATGCCAATGCAAGCGTCGCTAGCGGTTCCACCCATGAATCAGGCGGGGCTAGACCGGAGCGGAGACGTTGCCATCAAGTGACGCAACGATTTGCTGGACCTTTAATTGTCGGGTGTCTTGTGGATATGACGAGAAGCACCCCCCAAGCAGGTCAAAAGGAATCTGACCACAAGCGACTAAAAGGATGTATCCTCGGCACTTTGTTCGAGAGGTGCCTGGTCGGTAGTCCCCGGTCAACTCTTGCAGATACAATTTTCAGAGAGGCCAAACTGCAGCTACTCCGTCATTCCTTGTTGAATGCAGACGCTATACCGACCTCGTCACTTCGGATGCAATTCGTGCTGCGCGCGATGGGATGCCCTGAATTTGGGACATTCCTGCGCATTCATGCGGTTGTAGCTAAGGAGCTCGCGCGATCAGCCTACGATAACTTCTTGTTATCGTTTCTCAAAAGCCATACAGGCGGGGTCGCGTTCATGAGTCTTCCGCTCATGATGATGTACGAGCTAGGTCGCAGTATGTCAAACAGAAAGCTGAATTCAGAATATAGAAACATCCACTGCGCGACGCGAGTTTGGTGCTGCAGATCTGTGTGATGCAGCTTAAGGCCGGATCTACATGAAACCTTGGTGGCTGCTGGTACTCAACTTCCTTGCCCAATATGTCGTCGTGTATCTGCTGTGGCAGAAGATTAACGGATCTGCGCCTGGGCTAGCTTTCACCTGGGCTAGGCTTTCAGCATTGGGTTTTCACTGCACCTCGCAAGTGGAAAACTTGTTGAGGGCTGCTGCTCACAGTCTTGCAATTCTTAGGAGCGGAGGATGGATAACACCCTAAGCCCTATAAGCCCTGCACCCTACATAGGCCCAGCCCTAATCTCAGACGACTGCTTTCGATAAGTTGGAGAGTCTCCAAAGCTGACACAAGGAGCGGGATGCAGATGTGGTCCTGCTCGACCGCTTTGGGGGCGAAGGAACGAGCTTGTGCGCCTTGTGCATGGAACTTAAGTTTTTTGAGAGGTTCAAAGCTCAAAGGTGGTTCAAACCAGGAGAATCGCAACCACTCAAAATCACACTCTGCTGCAAAGATTGCATGTGGAAACTCCACACACACATGAATCCCCCCCCTCAGCAGGGCGACGGCAAATTCTCCAGTTGTGCATGTTGCCAGTGCCGTCGAACTAAAGAGACATGCCTCGCCTCAATTGTCCGAGTTTTGAGCGGCAAAACCCCCACTAAACCCTTAATGCAGTAGCCTAACTACTTACCAATACTATTCTGGGGCTTCCTTACTGTAATTATGTAATTGTAGTATAACGGGCCCGACAACGCTATTCTAATTTTAACGCTACGCCGCCCGCCTCGGCTCTGTAGCGGCAGGGCGAGGGGGCAGTGGATGTCGTATACACCATAGGGCCTCTCAACCCACCTTTGAGTGTCCGGTGCGCGACCTCGCTGCTCGGGGAGGGGAGGGGGAGGGGAAGGGAGGGGGAGGGAGGCCTGGGAAGCGGGCAAACGATGCAAAAAACGGGTGTCTCCAAACTGGAGAAAAGTTGAGGTAACCCCCAAGACGCCTGGGCCTGTGGCCTCGGCGGATTATTAAGGCCCCCTATATTGCATCTTTGCCTCAGGCTTTGAGGTGACGGCAACCGATGGGCCCTACAACCCTGGACGATCCGGCTTGAGTTGTTCCTCCGATGAGGCAACCTGGCTTGATGTTTTCAGCGACTTTCGCCTCTATTTGGGAGTTTCGGAAAATTAGGGGTACCTTGTTTGGGGTCCTTGTAATCAGGGTCCTACTATTTAGGGTGCTATAAAAGGTTCCCTCCTATTTCCGGAAACTCCCACTTGGTTTGGACCTTTGTAGTGAAACGTGTTTTTTGAACTGTCAATGCCGTAGAACAGGAACACCTTCAGCAAGTGCCAGATGGTCCTAACGTGATGTCGCTGTGTGCCCCTATGCTTTGCTCAAGCAAGGTTGTGCTGCTGACAAACTTCAGCCTGCTGGACTTGGACGGGGACCTTCGATTCAGAGTTGTCTTCCTCTACGTTATCACTAGCCTTGCCATTGCATTTGGTTTCTGCGAAACCACTTTGTGCAACTAAGGATGGTCAGTGGACTTATGACGAGGCTCTTTCCTGCTGCAGAGTCCGAGGCTCAGTGGGTCCGATCTCCTCGGGGTTCTCATCCCGAGGCTGAGCGGCTGGATGCCCAATATGCAAGCGCGACCAGACGACACGTCGACATGTCTTCGGTGCATTTTGCCCGAGTTTGGCGCAAGCGTCTGGCATGTTTGGTTTTAGCGTGTGTCAAGTTGGGACTAGCATGCATGCTGGCGGAGGTCCTGCATTCTCGCTTTTTCTTGTCGACCCCCCTTGCTCCAAGGTATCAAAGGGTCTTCAAAGCCTTCCAAGCTAATGCTGATGGCTTGGTCCTACCATGTGAAATCAACGATACGCTTGAAGCGTTCTGGTCCGACGACGGCTTCTGGTATGATGCACGGCTTGAAGCCATCGATAGTGGCGACCTTGCCCTGGTATGGTACTTCGATGACAACGATACATCTTACGTCAAGAAAAGTCAGCTGCAAAAGTCCGTGGGCGATCGGAAATTCAAGTGCAGTTTGCCGAAGTGCATTGACACGGATGCG